CTGAGCAGTAACCAATAGTCTATGTCTGTTCTCAATCACTAGATAGGGAATACACGAAGCAATCCACAGCAGTCCAAGTTGACGGAGTAATTCTGCGCCGAACGGTACCATTGCTTTTTTTTTGAGTTCGCACTTCAACCTCAATATTCAAACATATTTTCAACGAACAGCTTCCTATTCAGAATTATGCATCAACGAACCAACGGGATCATTCTCATTCGGATGTTCATCATTTTATGCGGTTTGCTCGTACGGCAGAGCACACCTGGAGCTTTGCGAAGGCAATTTGAGATTCGATATTGAGTCGGGAGTTTGCATTGAGGAGGTTTGTTGAACGAATAAATTTGCTCTTTTTTGACTAGTGCTCATCGTATGTTACACGTGCGGTTTGTCTGATCAGCCTTAGAATCATCCGTTCCATCACACATCTCTCCCATGTATTCCTACTCTTCCAGTTCTATTCCATCTGAATCAATGCAGTTTCCGTGAACTCTTCAAACAGTTCAAGTTATTTACCTATATGATTACCCAATTTCCTTCCATTCCGTCGGATCTCCAAATTGCCAGAATATTCAAATTGTTAGCTTAAAGAATACCAACATCGATTTCAGGTGTTTGTTGCTGCATGTGGTGAACACATGACAACCGAACCGACCACACTAACCACACCAACCACCGTATCTTCTGATGCAACATCACCGTGTCCAGGGTGCCCACCGTGCATCGTGTGCCCCACATGTGCACCGTGTCCACCATGCGAATGCGATACTACCACTCCGGAAGCAACACCATCGTCTCCTGTTACACCCCAAACACCAGCCCCGGATGATACCACCACTCCAGAATTAGTAAACACTCCACCTGGTATGTCAAAATTTCTTTCTGTTCTTCGCTTCTATAACTTCTTGAAATGATTGCTGATATTGCGGATAATTTGATAAAATTATTAATTCTTGTAAGGACACGAGGAATGTTGTTGATAAGTGATAACATCATAGTAATAAGTCTTTAAATAGAACCACC